TGAGGGACCTCACAGACTGGTCCTGGGAAGACCCACAGATGGCAGGTGGAGATGGGGCGGCGGTCTCTCTACCGGCCCTACAGGGATGCTGGGCGGTCAGCCCAGATCTCCAGCGGCAGTATGTATCACAGGGAGCTGAAGGTGCTGTCCTTCCTCCCCAGTGGCAGTGTGAGTCCCAGGGAGCCGAAGGGGTCGTCCTTCCTCCCCAGCGGCAGACTGTTTCCCAGGGAACGGAAGGTGCAGTCCTTCCTCCCCAGCGGCAGTGTGTCCTGCAGGAAGCGGAGACAGTCTGTCTTTCTCCCCAGCAGCAGGACAAAATATTGAAAGGAGAGACAGTTGGTCCCCCTCTCCACCAGCAAAGAGAGTGTCAGGGAGAGGAGCAGGTTACCCCCTCTCCCCAGCGGCGGTCTACAGTTCAGAGAGAGGAGCTTGTTACACCCTCTCTCCAGCGGCAGCCTAACCCACCAAGGGGAGATGTTAAGCCCCACAACTATGCAGATGGGACCGTAGTCTCTGCACTTGCAGCACCAGGGGTAGGGACAGTCGGTCCTGTCCCCAGCCACAGAGCAGTGTATCCAGAGGGGAGACAGTCGGTCTCCCCCTCCCACAACCAGGCTCCAACCAGGCTACTTCAGTGGTAGCGCTGGCACCCGGGCAGAGTACCGCTGGTCTCTGCCCCCTCAGCAACCCACCAAGGCAGTCTACCAGCCCCCCGCACAGCCGTGGTGAGGCACCTGGACATGGACAAGTTGCTGTTTTATCCAGGTGTAGTAACCAGTTATTGTGGGTGGGCTGTATTGCTGGTTGTGCTTCGTGGGTGGGTTGCTGGACTAACCAGGGCACTGACCGGCAGGAGGTCAGATACCCTGTTAGTCTGGATGGTAAAGGGGAGAAATGTGGCAAAACCGGCCTCGCCACATGTCCTTGGAGGGGGCTGCCTGCCCGCCTCTTGCCTTTGGACTATGGACCAGACTTTATGTGAATGTGTTAACCCAGATAGCTATGCCATGGAGCCCATTCGTGTAGTTAAAGACTTCGGCTCCATGGCAATTGAACTGTGTGAATAGGATCTGAGCGCTATTCGGTACTTTTGTGCGCTCAGATCCCAGCTATCTGAGGATATGTGAAATGTCTGTGTGTTATGTGTAAAAGGTGACTTTATGTATTTTAAAGTGTTTTATGTCTTTTTGCAACCATGTGCTCAATGGAGTCTGCCTCTATCCTGGGAGATAGTGAATTACTCTCAGGATAGAAGACCTGAAACTTGTGGACTCTGGGCAAAAGAAGCCATGCTGTTTAGTCACAAGGACTTTCCCTTAACTTTGAACCCCTGAAGTTCTGATTTGTGCCATTTTTAATATTTGTTCCCCTGAATGGATTGTGAATATGTGGTACATGTGAATGTGATGTATGGTTTTAGAGTTATAGTTGGGTAGAAAGTATCGAACTTTAACTGTATGTGTGTGAGTGAGTTTCCTCTCAGGATAAGGGGAGGGAATAGCCAAACAGGGATGTAACTGATAGCGTTTAGGATTTGTTTTGTAACCCTGTGGGCTGTACTATGTTTATTAGTTGGGAATAAAAGGGGCTATTGTGTGACAGTACAGAGAGTTCCTGTTTTAACCCTCAAAGTGAAGTGTCGTCTCATTATTGGGGGAAGGATTTATTGTATGCTGTTCCAGTTTGACTGCTAGGAGAGTAAACCTATTCGTAGGGTTCCTATTCAACTGTCTACAGCATTCATATGCTTGAGAGGATTCATATGCTTCTCTGCTTCTCCGGTTCGGTGGTTGTGGTGTCTGCTGCAGTGCTTGGAGTCCTCAGGAAGCGCTAGGAGCATCTTTCAACGGAGGTACCCAGTCGGGGTGCCAGGCGATCCGTTACAGCTCCTATACCCTATATCCCAGCAGACCCCAGGTAAGTTGTCAAACTGTTCTTAAACGGTATGACTACTTACTCTGGGGTGGAATCCTGGCACTACTGACACCATAACTACTACACTGAGCTGTAGTGGTTATTGTGCCTGGATTATTTATTTAAATAATCTACAAGTGCCCCTCCCGAGATCAGGCTCTGGATCCGCCACTGTGCCCACGTCGATGGATATTGTAAATTACTTGCCCATGTCGATGGATATTGCACACGTCCATAAATACCGTACATGTTGCTTCCCCAAACCTAGAATTCTAGGGTTCCAAATTTGTTTTCAAAATTTTAGAGAAAAAAAACAATACACACTGAATTTGCTCTCTGAAAGCTTCCTAAAATTGAAGCTACAAGCCATTCAGTTCCATCAATAGTCCACAATAGCTCCATGAATATTCTGATAAGCAGAGAAATGATGAAATAGTTAAATTAAATAAATTAAATAAATACGTCAGAGAGCTAACTTCTTGTCCAAATGGTTAAATAAATAAAAAGGTCAAGAGGACCAGTGTTAAAGAGGCACCATGATTATGGTTATGGTTATGCTACCATCATGCAAGTAAGAGTCCAATGGTTTCTGAATGGGATGAAAATTATCTGGGTTCCCATGTACTATCCTGTGAATTGTGAAGTGGAAGTTAAATAATAAAGATAGTCTTTAATATTGGCTGTCACTAACACTCCCAAGTTCTGATATTACAGTAATAATTATCACACAATCCTCCGATTCCCGTGGACCCACCTGTGGCTGCTGCAGTAAGTTGCTCATCCACGCTCTGTCTGGGATAGTTCAGTAGATTCAGAGATGGCATCCCCTCCTGCTCTTTGCTTTTGGAGATTAAAGGGTTTCTGTCCCTTTCTCTTAGCGGTGCTTTTGGTGACCTCCTGCCACTGTCAGTAGCGGGGTGTATAAAAGGCTGGTCCCAGGGTGGGTGCTCCACATTATACCCCGCGGGAGTGACTGATGATGCATAGGAGCTTCCCTCGCCCTCCACTCCTGGCAGCAGGTAGAGCTCTGGGTCGCTGGCCTAGAAAGGAAAACAAGGAAACAGAGCATTCAGGGGCCAAGTGGGTCTATCGGCAGGAACATTCCATTGGTTTCCATAGTGACTGTTACATTCCATTGGTTTCCATGGTGACTGTTACAGCTATGGAGCAATCAGCAGGAACATTCCACTGTATTTCATGGTGACTGTTACAGCTGTGAAGCAATCAGCAGGAACATTCCATTGGTTTCCATGGTGACTGTTACAGCTGTGGAGCAATCAACAGGGACATTCCATTGGTTTCCATGGTGACTGTTACAGCTGTAGAGCAATCAGCAGGAACATTCCATTGGTTTCCATGGTGACTGTTACAGATGTGAAGCAATCAGCAGGAACATCCCATTGGTTTCCATGGTGACTATCACAGTTGTAGAGCAATCAGCAGGAACATTCCATTGGTTTCCATGGTGAATGCCCCTCAGAAACAATCAGTCCTGCAATGGTTAGAGCGCACATTGCTCTGGGGGAGATTTATCAAAGTGCTCTGAAAGTGACTTTTATTTTTGCTCTCTAATATGTTTGTATTTATCAAATTGTTCTATAAATTGTCTAAAAAATTGTTGCATTTTCTCTGCTTAAAGGTTGCTATTTTTTACAAAATGATACATTTCACAAAAGAGCGCCAACTTCACAGTAGCGGAAATGACTGATGAGTTTGGGGTGAAGAACGGCTGTGCGTTATGAAACTATGGTTACCGCACACAAAAAACCAGATGTAATAAACTGACCTGAAAACACCAACAAAATGTGTCAATCTGTCTGTAACATCGACAAATCTCTTTGCCCATTTTCCTGTTTCTCCTTTATATTGGGTCTCAGGGTGGAGGTAAATACAGGGCAATACTACAGAGAGTTTTATCTTTCACCATTTACAACACAGAAATTAAACATAGATGCTAAGAATACGTTCGGTTAAAAAGGCTCCGAATTAAGAAGAGAGGTTTATTACTCACATACGGAGGGGCGAATGACTTCACTTTCACCTCCAGCTCCTGCTTTGCTTTCACCTGTCAGGAGTAGAAAGACACCCTTGGATTGATACAGAAGGAGCTTGTGAATGTCTGTTACAGCAGACAATTGTTTCCATACTTCGCATTATTTTATTTTCCTGGCTATTATACACGGCAGCATCACATATGGTTAAGCTCGTCCTCCCAGCTGTCAGGACAGGAATAATTAAACAATTAGACCCCTCAGTCTTGTTAAATAGCTCCAGTTGAAGAATCCAGAATGGAGGGAGCATGATGCTGCCATGTATAATAGCCAGGAAAAGATAATAACGGTAAGCATGGACAGGGCCGATGCAAGGATTTTTTGCTACACAAGCGACTATGCATTTTACCCCCCCCCCCTCCAAAAAATAAATGTATCTTCAACTTTGTACCTCGTAACTCCTCTTTTGAATTTCTTACCCCCTTTAGTGATACATATCCCCTCTTCAATGTGTTATCACTGTGTGTGTTACAACCCCTTTAGTGTATTATACCCCCCTTTAGTGTATTATACCTCCCTTTGTCTCTAACTTGCCCCCCAGCCCTTTTCTGTGTCACTGTGCTTTAGTGTGGGGGATAGGGGCAGAATTGTGTGGGATAGGGACTTTATTATTATTATTATTATTATTATTATATAGCGCCAATAAATTCTGTAGCGCTGTACAATAGGGCTTTAGTACTGTGTGTGAGGGACTAGGACTTTAATCAAGGAGAGATAGGAGTAGTTTTGGGAAATAGAGGCAGTATTGTGGGCGGGATAGGGACTTTAGCAAGGGGGGAATAGGGGCAGTATTGTGGGGGGATAGGG